GTCCCCTAAAGATAACTAAATATAACCATTGAAATAAGAAAGTACTAAGTTAGATAAGTGAGGAGCTCAGAAAACCTACAAAATCTATGTACTACCCAGAAATGGGTCCTACTGATTCTGACATAATAGAAATAGTAAGATCCACAACCCTGAGTCCTATTTCCATTTCCACCAAAGGACAGCTGTAGTTCTTGAGCAAGTCAATTAATTCTTTGGGCCAGAACCTCATCTGTAAAATACTGGGAGTTCATGATTAAGGTTCTTTTATGCTTTATAATTACACTGATGTCAAATGTTTTGGGCAATATCATTTTTGCTTCAATAGTCTAGCACTACCTTGTAAACTCTGAAATAATGCTTAGCAAACAAAATATTATGAGTGTAGGACTAAAGAAAATAACCTCAGAATATTTCTATCACTATTTCTTCATTCACTACTTTCTCATTTCTTATATCTGCACAAAATACTATATGTATTATTTGATAGTACTGTCATATTTATAAAACCTAAGAAAAAAAGAATACATGTAGTATGAACAGAATAATCTAAAAATAAGTTTTCCTAATTTTAGACACAAGCTATTTCTAAAATATTATGCAAACCAGGCATGGTGGCACATGCCTATAATCCCAGCAGCACTCAGGAGGCTGAGGCAGGAGGATCATTGTGAGTTCAACACCACCCAGGGGTATATAGTGAATTCGAAGGCCAGTCTGAACTACTTAGTGGGACCCTGTCTCAAAAAACCAAAATAATTAAATAAAATAAAATATTATGCAAACATATTCAAAACTAAAAACAATCTTTTAATACATTTACTACAAAATTACTGTACTTGAAACCTCTATAAAGATAGTCAGTGTCATTTATAAGACCCTATCTGTTTGAATATAATTTTTTTAATTAGATCAGGTAAAGATTTGTATAAATTAAACATTTAAAACCTTTGCAATATAAACATTAATGCTTGTTAAGAAAAAACTGATTTGTCCACTACTCTTGTTGATTCACATATGCCACTGAAACCGATAAAGATGTTTATGACAGAATAAACAGTATTATGAGATTCAAGGTAAATTCCAAGAGAATCAAAAGATTAATATCACTAGGATCCTTCCAAAGCAGAAAAAGGAATAAAATATTTTCCACTAAAATTTAAGCAAAAGGGATAATAAATTTTAATGATAACATAAATAGGAGAAATTTCACTCTATAACATTTCCAGAGAGCTTTTTAAGATCTTCATAATAGTCTTAAATGCGTATGTAAAAGTTCTGTAGATTGACTGCATTATACTTGTGTCTGTCATGAAAACTTAAAAATATTTGAGAAGCAAAATCAGATGTTAGAAAAAATATCATTTATTAATACTTCCCACCACTGAATACATGAGGAAAATATGCCAAAGATAGCTTTTCCACAATATACTAAGAGCAATCTTCCACCATCGATTAATGCTATCACTAATGCCAATGGTTTAGATGAATCTTTATGCAGTTTTAACATTTCTTAGTTTATCAAGTAATAACAGCATGATAAGAAACATAGACTAAACAAAGCACACAAATATAGAGCAAAACTTTTTGAAAACTGCATGTATTAGTAGCCTCAGTAGCATCATGTATTAATGTTGAGGATGGACAAGGAAGAACATCACTTTTAAGCAAATAAGAAAGGCTTCCCTTTTCAGTACAGCATAGCCACATTTTAAGTCCCCTTCAATCCATAAAGCTGCATTTATTAGGTTTATTACATTGTTTATATCATAATCTGCAAGCTAATAGTCACTGGGTTTCCTTCAATGAAAACACATTTTTGTTTTGTTTATCTTTTACCTAGTCTAGCGTGTGTGTGTGTGTTTGTGTGTGTGTGTGTCTACATACACATACCACTTTCTCTATAATCAATTATAAGTTACCTACTCTGTGTCAGGTTCTGTGCCTGACCTTAGAGATGGGCAAATAACCAAGATGTGATTCCTCTCCTTAAATCCTTAAATACCAAGCATAACTACAAAACTGCCCACTATTAGGCTTGGTTACCTTTATGCCTTCACTATCATCATTGAAGAATCTGCCAGTTCTTTCACAACAGTGCTTCTTTTGTTAACCATCTGTCTCAAAGGATTCAACATATTCTCCCTCTAATCTTTTCAAGCAAAATTCTGGGGCTTTTTCACCAGATGGGCCATATGATATTATTATTATTATTATTATTACTATTATTTAAGTGCAGCAAAGGCAGTCTGTCAGTATTTGATGTTTGATTGATTGAATTCTTGCTTGAACCATTAATCAGTAAATATTTATAAACACCACTATAGTAAAATAATGGCAGCTACCATTAACTGATATATTATATACCAAATATTGTACATAGCATTTTATATATATTCTCACATTTAATTCTACAAAGAAAGTTTCATTACAATATTTTAAGGATGATAAAACTGAGGCTTTGAGTTTTAAGTAACATAACTAAAGCCATAAAGAAAAGGATTCAAAATTGACATCTGCGTAGATAATAGTTACTTTTCATAAGGGACTTTGTACATAAATGGGTCTTGCAGATTACACACTATTTTGAAGGAGAAAGATCATCTTTTGTCTGCATCAGCACACACCAGTGGTGGCCAACCTATGGCACACATGCCGCACCTGGCTGGCTGTTATCATTGAAAGCTCTAAAAGGCTCACCATCACAGGCATCCACCATCAAAATTTCAATACAGGTTGAACACTGCTAATTGCTAATCCAAACATCCGAAATTCAAAAAAATTTTAGCACCAAGAGGATGTTACAATTGCAAACTCTACACCTGACCTCATGTAACAGTTTTCAACAAAAAACAGGCATAATAAAAATACTGTATAAAATTACCTTCAGGCTACGTGTAGAAGGTATATATACAACACAAAAGAATTTTGAGTTTAGACTTGGGTCTCATTGCCAAAATATTTCATTACGCATATGCAAATATTCCAAAATCTGAAAAACTCCAATATCTGAAGCACTTCTACTTTTAAGCATTTTGATAAAGGATACTCAACCATTTTCTACTGACTGAAAGGGTCAATTACAGATCCGGTTTTTATCCCCACCCTATTCTCAGGATCTAACACGATGTCAGCCACATAAGTGATGCTCAAGACAAGGCAGTGTAATAAAATCATTAACTCTTCAAATTCTGTTCTAAGGTGAATGTTCCATTTATAGCAATGTGTGGTGACACATGTATATCTGGAACATCACAAATAGGATCAGTGAAAAAACATTTATCTTAAGTAGATCAAGGTAATTATTAGATTTTTCAATAAATCAAATTTTTCAACACTATTTCTTAAAGGCAGGTAAGGAAATATAAAACATTTTAGCACAATTTCTAGTTAATATTTTAATTAGAGAAAAGTAGGAAAATTTAGCATCATCTCCACAGCAACTACATCCTGGCAACAGAAACCTTAAATTTGTACAAACATTAGATACAATCAAAACAAAGAATGACATAAAAACTAAATTACAGCTGTTGTTGGCAAGACTGTCGGCTGAAATTTAGCATGTTAAACATATTTAATCATAAATTCCAAGATACTTTATTTCCTTGGTTTAACAATTACTAGAGTTAATAAGTACATAAATACACACACACAAAAAACTTTACAAACGACATATAGAGGAAAGGTGAAAAAAAGCATTAAGAAAGTTTCTTTTTAAAAATTTATAGCAACAGCCCACTCAGTTCTTTCCTCATAGGTTTTAGGAATCCTCAACAAGTTTAGCATTCATTTTACCTCTGCCTACACCTTCTCCCATTATCCTACTTTCATGATCTTTTGGACATTAGAACTCTGTGACATTCCATTGCAAATTCTTTTCAGAAGTTAGTAGAAGCAAAATTTAAATACTGTCTTCTATTACTAGTTGACTTTGTGTCACAAGACAAGCTCAAAAGTAGTGACTTCTAAAAACCTTTGATATACTTCCCAAAATGCAGTAAGTGGCAGTCACTCAAAATAAATTTAGGTATCTACTGAAAGGAAAGCAGTGAGCAGGTGGGGATGTACAAAGTTACAACCTTCTTAACTTTCACTGTCCAAAATTATAAAAATGAGAATAGTATCAATTTCAAAAATTATTATGAGGATTAGCACACAACACACATAACCATTAAATACTTTAACTCTGAACCTTGTTTTCTTCATAGAGCAATGAAACCTAACAGCTACAGACTAAATATTTGTGACTTCCCCAAATTTCTGAATTGAAACCTAATCTCCAGTATGATCTATTTGGAGGGGGGTTCTTGGGAGGTGATTAGGTCATGAGGGGAAGCCTTCATCAGTGGGAATAGTGCCCAGATAAAGGAGGACCCAGAGAGCTCCCTTGGTCCTCCTGCAGTGTGAAGACACAGTGGAAGATGTGGTGGATAAACAAGAAAAGGTGCTCTCACCCCACACCAACTCTACCAGTGCTTAGATCTGGACTTCCTAGCCTCTTGAATCACAAGAAACCAATTTTTCTTGTTTTTCACCCATCCAGTCCACAGTATTTTGTGACAGCAGCTTAAAAAGACTAACACAAATAGTTGTGAGAATTAAATGAGTAAAAATATATCAATCAGTTGGCATAAATTCCTGACATAGAGTAAGTCCTCAATAAATCATCAATTCTTTCTTTTTTACTTTCCCTCTAAATTTCAATTTTAAGACATAGTAAAAACTTTAAAATCAAATCTACTAGAAAGTGAATGGTTGGCTAAAAAATAAAAATCACAGCATTGTAATAAACTATTTTTTCTGACAACCATATTACAACTATGATTTATTAATACAGAATATCTAAAATGTGTTCAAAAAGAAATTAAAATACTTTTTTTTTGGCAGTACTGGGAACTGAACTCATGTCTCATGATTGCTAGGCAAGTGCTCTACCACTGAGCTACATCCCCAGCCCAAAACAAGTCTTTTTAACATGAATTAGCACTCATTCATATTATTACCTTTTCTTCTAGTTTGTCTTTCAAACACTGATATTTTAGCTTCATTTTTTTGTTCTCATTTTCATTCTGGGTTAATTCCTCTGTCAGTCTTTCACATTGTGACTTCAATTTCTCCAGCTGACAACGATGGATTTTCACTATATTCTTATCTTCTAAGCTTTCTGCCTAAAATAAAGAAAAGAGAAAGTCCACTGGCTATAGCCAAACTATACCAAACTAATCACATTATATCAGTGTGAAAATACTTCCAGATTGTAGTTCTCTCAAAGCATTTTAATTTTTACATAAAAATAAAACAAAAAATGCTCTTTGTATTTATTCACTCAGCATGTATCAAGCACTTACCAAGTGACAAGCATTATGCTAGGGGCTGAAGATAATAGATATGAACAATAAAATAGAATCAACAGCCAATTTAACAACAATAAATGAGAAGAAGTATTTCAAAGTGGAGGCTGAGCATTTAGGCAATCAAAAGAAGAGAAACCAACTGCTGAAACAGGAAAGAGGTGTTAGACAAGTGTTCCAAAAGAGAAATTTTATGAGATGATACTGTTCACTGATCAGTTTCCTCATCTATAAAAGAAGCTTAACTTTCCTGTTCTTCCTAACTCCTAGATTTTAAGAAAGAATTATGTACTTTTGTACAATGTAATTATTGATACAATTATTATGGCACTAGAAAGATTATGAATTATAACAGCTAAGAAACTATAAACTTAATCTGAAACTGTTTCAGCATCAGTAGTGTGAAATAAAGTACCTTTTTAGTCATCTTTATTTAGATATAACTGAAATCAGGCTTAAAAAATAAACATTAGGAATAATCTACTCTGTATATGGAATTCAATAAAGACTTGCCAGGTATGCGAACTTAAAGAACTTTGAAATATCAACAATGTAAACACTGTATATCAGGTACTGCTAAGACATTCCGTACAATTTTTCATTTCATCTTCAAAACAACTTAACCAGGAAAGCTATATTATTGTCTTACTGCCTCCTTTTTGAAACTGAAGCACAGGGAAGGTAATAATAACTTGCCCAAGGGTACATAATGAGTAAATGCAGAGTCAAGATTTGAACTTGGAAATTATAAGTATTTTCAACTACTCCATCACACTGCCCCTCAAAAGACACGTGTTTTAAAAACAAAACAGTTGAAATTTTCAATACTAACTGTCCACACCTACCAGTTACTAATACTCTGTAAAAAAACTGCATATAATCTGTTTAAAATATGTGTTTTAATGCCTAAAGTGTATCTGGTTGTTTTCTTTTTATAAGTTTATTATATGTGTTTAATTAGGTATGTAAGAACAGAATCATTGGGAACAACTTCCTGAAAGGAGGAACTTTAGTGAGTTTTACACACAATCTGTATTTTCTTTACTTCACAAAAGCCTTACCTAAGATCTGATGCCACTGTGAATTAACAAAGAAATTGATTTTTTTATGAGAAATCCTGTACTTGCAGTTCAAAAATAAATTTACAAAATAAAGTCTCTCATCAGGATAACTGCTCAATTACAAGTTTAAGCTTCAGTAAATGTTTTTACTTTTCTTTACCTCCTATAAAAAAAAGCCCAGATGGGGCCGAGGATTTAGCTCAGTGGTTCTGTGGCACCTCGCAAGTGCAAAGTCCCCAAGTTCAATCCCCGGTACCCAAAAACAAAGAAAAAAGCACAGATAAATGAGAGGCTTCTCCAGAAGGTCGGGGATGTACTGGAGCCAACTGACAGGGACGCCAGGAGCCAGTGTGCTCATCTCTTCCCAACTTCACCCCTGTCTCCTGCTGCCTTGTGTGAAATCAGCCAAGACGGGGACACTTACACCAATGTGTTTGGCAAATGCTACAACACAGGGTTTATTTCCCCAAAGAGCCTGCTTTTAAATATTGATCAGCATATCAATTCCTAATTTAACTAAGAACTTATTTACTTTTGTACTTTTTATTACTCTTACATTTCATTTTAGGGTTCGCAAAGGCTGTGTTTGCAACAACTCAGCAATATACAAGAACACTACTCTTCCCACTCTGTTGATAAGGCATGAAAAGGGGAAGTCATTTGACCAAGATCATTCGGCCGACAAATGGCAAAACTACACAACTCCATCCTGTACTTTTTGGTTCCAATAAGAGGCTACAAAATGATTTTGTTGAAGTTACAATAAAGTGATAGTCCAACATCCTGAAAATATTAATAAGAGGTATGGCATGTCAGTAAAATATTTTAAACTTAAATTTAAAAGTAGGTATGAGGGGCCGGGGATTTAGCTCAGTGGTTCTACCACCTGCCTCGCAAGCACAAGGTCCCGAGTTCAATCCCCAGTACCAATAAATAAATAAATAAATAAATAAATAAATAAAGGTAGGTAGGTATGAGAAAGGTAATTCTAGATGAAGGGGCAAATGTAACTAATTTGCATGGGAAAAAAACAGTTGGTGTATCAGAGCTTACTAAATTGAAAAAGTAATCAGGAAGCTGAAAGACACAAAAGTATAACGCTTGTAGAGCTACTCGCCTAAAACCCTGTTGTACGTAATTCAGTATACTAAATCTATGAGGATTTCTGCTATCAATTCTTTTTACTTAATATAAATAAATAAAAGTGTAGGATTACATTATTAAAACAGCATGAGGTGAGGATAGTTCCTTGAGGGTTAATTTACGTAGTTTAAAATGCAACTGCTGGCCCTGACAGTCCGCGGTTCTCCTTGTAGCTCCTGTGCTACTCTTTGCAGGAGATCAAAGTAATTCAGAATTTAGGCAGCTGACTACCTGGGTTCAAATTCTATATCTACCACTCTTCAGCAGTTAAGACTTTGGGCAAGTTATTTTACTACTTTGTATACCTCGATTACCTCAAGCTCTACAATCTGTACAAGTGATGTGAAGATTCAGTGAATAACAGGTAAAGTTGTAGTAGGGACTGACATAAAAGGTTGAAAACATATTTGCTAATAGTAGCATTATTATCACAGCCAATCAAACAACAAGAGAGAGAGAAAGAGACAAAGAGAGAGAGAGATCTCAGTTCTTCATAACCCTAATTCTAGTTTTGTTTCTGTCCTCAGAAACTCTGAAGAACTAATATACCAAACTTAAACAACAGTAAAAATGTATATTTTTCACAATCTACCATCTCTGGGTTGTTATCTTACAGTTAATATCACATCATAGTTTATAATAAGAAGGCAGTATTATTTTTCTTAGTAGCATACAATAATGATGTACCATAAACCTGATGGTGTCCGAGATTCAGTAAAGGTCATTTACCCTCCATTCTGATGTGCTTACCTAAGTTAATGACCCCAAATTCAAACTGACTATTTCCAGAAGACTAAAAAAGCCTGAAAAGAACCCATTAACCAGCTATAACATTCCATAAATACCAGCTATTTCAACATAATTTCATTTTGCAATGTATTTTTTGCATTTCGAAGTCTTTTGAAAAACAAACTACAATTCACTTTTAAAGATGTACCCATTCACTCAACTACTTAACAGATATTTACAAGTTTCCAGAAACTATTTAAGGCACTGGAGATATAGTTGTAAAGAAATTAGACTCAAATTCCAGTGTCCATAGAGTTTTCATTCTAATAAAGGGAGATTAAAAAATGAATAGTATGGGATCTATACTATATGATGATAAGTTTGATGGAGAAAAAATTAAGCAGGGAAGGATAGATCTGTCATGGTAAGAAATGATTGCCCTGCTTGAGGATAACACTAAAGCCATTACACCTTAGAAATACCTCCCCAAATGCAAGGTCTCAATCAGGCATTTACCCAGGTAACTTGGATTTGTAACAGAAGGGGTAAACCTCAAAACTTTGGGTTTACACAGCCTATAAGCTGATCCACTTTAGTTACCATACTAATAAGGACTGTGGTTACAGCCTCTATGGCCTTGACAAGTCTTTATCTTTTATATTTTAGGTCGTAAATACTGAATGAGGGCACATTTCAGGTCCAGAACTTACTGCCACCTCTACCTTTCCTGAACTCCCAAAACAGCTAAATGTTCCTTTTAAAGGGCTTCAATGCTGTAAAATAGGTGCTCCCAGGTGGCTGCTATAACTCATTTCAACCTGGTCGAACAGGCATGAATAAACCTCTTTATTGTTGGCTTTATCTTCTCTTCAGTGCTTGGGAATACAAAATGATCTCTAAAAGTTTATGCTTTATTAACTTCATGAGCCACCAGAAAAATTCCTTCGGTATCATCAAGGTAATTCAGCATAGGTACCTTCAGTGTCCTAATATGATTCTCTGCTTCACTCTTTTCTTTCTTAAAGTGCTTCATCAGCTCCTGAATATTTTGTTCATGTCTCATTTTCACACTCTGCAAAGATGATGTGAGATCTTCCAGCTCCCTCTGGTGAACATCTCGTTCCAGCTTTAGCTGCGTGATGACAGTAGCTGTTTCTTCATCCTTGGATTTTGCCTGGGCTGTGAGGTGAGAAAGATCCTTAAGCACCATTTTCTTGGCTCTCTCTTCTTCGGCCAATTTATTAGCAAGATCTGCTCGAATGGCACTTAAATCCTTGATAGACTCTTGCATCTCAAGAAATTTAGATTTGTCCTGAGCCTGGCTCTTCTTTAGTTCTCCAATTTCTTCCTCCAGGTGAGCTTTCTCAAATTTAATCTGGCTTTGAACCATATTCTGCTTTTTCAATTCACTCTCTAGTCTATGGATGGTATCTAGAGAATTCTTGACTTCTTGTTCAAGGTCAGCTTGATGAGACCTAATATCATTTAGTTTCTTCTCCTTAGAGTGAAGCTCTTCCTCTTGAAGAGCACGCTTAGTCAAGACATCACTCAATTCTTTTCGAAGATTCTCTATCTGTTGCAATGCCGTATAAAGTTGACTTTTCAAATCATCCTTTTCTTTTAGAATCTGAAGGGTTAAGAACATAAAGCAAAAAAATAAATTTACTGTAAAGTTCAACATAGATTCTGCCAGGTAACAAAATAAAGTTTAGTACATAAGGAAAAGAAAAATTAATGAAATAATACTCCTGTTTCCATTTTTGAAGAAAAGTGGAAAATATATAATTACACTGAAATAGTACAATACTGAAACATGTATTTTGCATTTTATTATCAATACATATCAATTTATGACTATAAGTAATCATTTAAATGTAAGAAAAAATTGAGGAAAGAAATGGGGAAAGAACTATCATAATTTACTAGAAGTTGAAATAATCAATTATTACCTAATAACAATGATGTGCATTTTAATGGCACACTTTTAAAAAAGCAGAAAACTTCAAACAAACATAGAAAATAATATAGGGGGGAAAAAAAACAGCGAATAAATATATGAAAAAATGTTAAAAAAAAGTGATTGTTAGGTAAATTAAAATAAAACCACAGTGAGTATCCTCTCATACTTGTTAAAATAGCTATAATTAAGAAAAATATAGGGGGGGAAAAAAACAGCGAATAAATATATGAAAAAATGTTAAAAAAAAAAAAAAGAAAATAATATAGGGAGACATACAGATAAAATCTAAGAAAGGTTATGATATAATAAGCTATTATTAATAAAATAACATCAGCATTGACTAGAAGCACCTCAATATACAACTAGGAGTTCTGAAGACCAACAAAGGTAGAAATGAGATTAAGACTGAACAGAATGGGAAAGTGCTCAAGAGAAAAGTAATGGGTGGGCAACTCACTTTCCGGTCCCCCTCTGTCTCTCTTAGACAGAAGAAGCTTTCTTTCTCTCAATAAATTTTTCCTATTTTTTTTTTTTCTGGTACCGGGGATTGAACTTGGGACCTTGCACTTGTGAGGCAGGCGGCGGAACTACTGAGCTAAATCCCCGGCCCAATTTTTCCTACTCTTAACCTCCACTGTTCCTAGAATTCATTCTTCCACTTCAGAGAACATGTACTCACGTTCTGGACATCTAGTAGTTTGGGAGGTACATCTCTTCCCCCTATATCATTTTGGAGGTCTTCCACCAAGATTACTGGATGGAGGTAAAAGTTTTGTTTCATAAGTTTTAACTTGGTCTTTTTGCTTCATAGACTTACTTTTCATTTCATAGGATCTGGCTATTTGTTTCACAGATTCTGGTTTTTGTTTCATAAATTCTGGCCTTTGTTTCAGCTTTTGTTTCAAAAGTGTCTTAATTTTAAGTTGTGTGTTTTAAATGTTTGTAAATTTCTTATTTTTCTTATGCATTGTCTTTTGTTAAAATTACATTTTATTCTTGTTTTGTATGTGCTTCATTTGGACTTAGTTGCTTAAAAATGTAAAATGGGTCTCTTATAAAATTGGCTCAGATAAAGACAGTTCAGACTTATATCTGTCCCTTATGGAATGCCAAACGGTGGTTACTCTGCCAGCTAGTAATTGCCCTTAGGGCAGCTGCCACTCTCCAAGCAGAGGACAGGTTTCTACAATTGCCCTCTGGTGAATCCCCACTCCCATTGACACCAATGGGGGGTGGAATGTTGACCAGATAGGCAATTGGGTTCCTTTCAGAGACAGATTTCTGATTGCGTGGAACAAGCAGAAACTGAGGTGACAACTGAGGGGTCAAGGCCAGGGCTACCCTCTGCCAGATACCCAAAGGTACCTCAGAAGAAACTAGCTCCTGACAGCCCATCTGGGTAATCAACAGAAAATCTCCACATCTTGTCCTTATCTGGACTCCTCAGTGAGGTGAAAGGGGAACTCTGTCAGTGATCATCAGAGTGATCTGAAACGATGCCATCAGAGCCCTTTCTTAAGCCTCTGTTAAGAGTTGAGCTACAGGTGTGGACTGCTTTCTCTATTAATAAGACCTCTAGACAAATGTACAAAACAAATCTTTGATAGAGTAAAAATACCTGAACCTTTTCTCCCACCTAGGCATGGTCTTCATCATTTATGCGTGTAGGGGAGAAAAATACCTTTTCTGATAGGTTATGGACTTTGGAACGCTGACTTTGGACTTACAAAATGCTGTATGGTAATTTGGGGGGATGTTTAACCAGCTTGAGCTTTATTTGCACTTTTTCCTCTCTGCTAGTGAGTTAAAAACTCCACTGAAACTTTTCTCCAACTTGTTGGGAGTTCATCTGAAAATCCCTTACAGTCAGATCACTCCTCCTTCCAGAAAGTCAGACTAAGGCAACTTGCAACAACTGTTTTGTCTTACACTAGGGAAAATAGCAATCAGTAACTTGCATTTGTGTTTTCACTCCTTAACTAGAATATGGGACTATCTTAGCCAGCCTTTCTCTTCATTCATGAGTGCATAGGAAGTTCATAAGAGTGCCTTTACTATGTAGACTGTGGCTACTAGGAGGACCTATGAGTTTCAAATACTTAGTGAATTTAAAATGAACCTTAAAGGAGTACCCTTGTCTTGCTAATAAAAGTTGCCTAAATGACTGGATAGATAACAGAAATTTCTCAGAGCTTTCCCTGCCCTACGGCCCAGGGCAGAATCTCTGAAGTACCACCTCTAGAGTCCATCTCTTTTGCAGGAAAAGTGCCCTAATTTGACTGTTGGCTTATTTCCCTCTCTCTCTTTCAAGGAACTAGATAGCAGTGGTTTAAATCTCTTGGTTTGCTAGCAACACTTCCCTCTCTAAACAGGATGGTTATGGCTGAAGTCAATTGTAACTTGTGCTTTAAGAGAACCTACTGGAGTAAGGATATGAGTTACCTAAAGAAGATAAGATCATGTGCTGGTAAAGGGTAGACAGTCCAGTCCTGTTTTATTTTCTGTTTCTCTCTTCAGAGGGTAGCTACGGACCATGGAGTGGTATAAACCTGGGGATGCCCTAGGGAGCACAGGAATCAAGCAGAAACTTATGGGATGCTATATTTGTTTGTCTTGTTTCAGATTAGGAACTCCATATCTGAAGCTCTTACTCCTTTAGAATATATTAAGGAGCAATTTAGTATTTCTCTACACCCACACGTGGTGTGCCTACCTCCTAAAGCCAAGTACACAGAGGAAAGTACTATGATGTTATCTCACAAATAGAATTATACTGTAAAAGAGAGAAGAAAACGGTCAAAATCATCTTATGTTGAGATTTTCTTTCCATTAAGAAGTAACTCTTGCTTGTGTTCAAATGCAAATGTGGGCCACAGAAAAATGAAAGACACCTCAGCCTTAAGGCATTCAGTACCTCTAAATCTGAGGCTACTCCTCCTCACCCTTTAGAACCTGAGAACAAAGTTTCCAAGACAACTTTAAGCCTTGACCACCAGGTGCAAGGGTGGAGTTTCTAGGCCAGCCATAATTAAAACCTCCATGAGGCTATATCCATCCTTAGCTAAGTTCAGATCCCTCAAAGACAATATCCCTTGCAGGAAGTAAATGGCAAATATGGGACTACCTGTGTTCATGTGTCTTTTTCTCTCAGTAATCTTGGGCAGATCAAATGAGACATAAAAGTTTTCATTCAGATAACCCTGATATGTACACTGAGGTCTTTAGAGGACTTACTCAGATGTATGGACTAGATTAGAAAAAAGTAATGTTGCTCTTAAATTAAACATTGATTTCTAATGAGAGACAAGTAGTATTAAAAGCTGCTACTACATATAGAGACAGATATTTTAATTTTGGAAGCTCAAAAAGACAGGCACCCAGGGGAACAACTGGTTTCTACTAGAACACAAGCAGTTCCTATACAAGACCCCCACTGGCCTGCCAATCAGATAGGAGATTAAATAGAAGACATTTTCAAGTGTGTACTCTTGAAGGTCTAAGGAACATGAGAAATAAGTCCTTCAATTATTTTAAATTGTCAACTATTTATCAGGAAAAATAAGACATCCCTACATCCCGATTTGATAAAAGGAAATACCATAGTTTCTCCCACATCACAGTCTTGCAATATGTAGATGGTATGCTGTTATGTGCCCCCTCAGAAAAGCTTTCTAGCCAAGACACCTGCTCTGCTGAATTTTCTAACAGACGGGTTATAATACTTATAGATCTAAGGCACAACTTTGCAGCCTTGAGTTAAAATATTTAGCCCTTATTATATCTAGGAGAACCCAAAGACTGGGGGAAGAAAGAATTTAACCAATTCTTTCCTTTCCACAACCCAAGACTCTAAAGCAGCTAAGGAGATTCCTGGAAATTGCAGGCTTTTGCGGCCTTCAGATAGCAGAATATAGTGAGATTGTGTGATCCCTCTATTAGCTTATAGAAAAACCCAAGAGACAGAAACCTGGGGACCTCATTCCCAGACTGCACTCTAGCAGTTCAAAGAAGCACTTCTAAGTGCCTAACTATGCGACACCATTTCAGTTTGTATGTTAATAAAAGGTGAGACATGGCTTTGGGAGTGTTTCTACAATACCAGGGAGCTGCTCAACAGCCTATAGGATATTTCAGTCATAAATTGGATATTATAGATTCAGAGTAATTCATTAAAAGGGTAAGCCCTAAACAATATAGTTAGAATACTTTCATTCTCTTTCAAGAGGCAAAAAGCAGCCATTTGGGTTCTTTGCTTATTGGTTTCATTTTTCTGCTTGGTAATGAAGTGGGAGTCAATCATAGCTTTTGTCTCTGGAGATATGTTTTCCTAAGGACTGCAGATCCACTCTGGAAAAGCTGATCTTAATTGTCCTTCTACACCTGAGATGGTTAAGATTTAGTTCTTGTACCATACTTAAAGGCACTCTTCTGTTCCTTCTCTACTGCCTTATTCCTGAGAAATAATGCAGTTTGATTCAAGGTACTTCCCTTTTCTGTGGCTGCTGGATTTCAAGACAAAGCTTCCAGAATGGTGAGTTTCCCCTCCCTGGAATCCTTCCAGAGTAAAGCTGACCTTCATTTTTCTCTGGGCCATATAGAAAACTGGTCTGGGTTTAATCCTGAAACTCTCAAAAGATAAATGTAAAAGTTTTAGTTCAGATTTATCT